ACCCTTAAAATCCTTTTCACCTCCCTTGGACCATTTAGATCCCCATGTGTTGTTAGGGTACTTGTTGGTGGATCTCCCCTTTTTCTGCCTTTCAATTTTCATGGCCATATCAACCATCTCTTCCATGGAATCATAGCGATACATCTCTAAGGCATAAGCGATATCATTATTTAGACCCCCAAGGAACCTTGACATGGTGATTTGTTCGTCTTCCTCAATTTTGGCTCTAACCATGCAAATCTCCATCTCCTTGTAGTAGTCTTCCACACTCTTCCCTCCTTGCACCATTCTTGCTAATTTGTTATGTAAATCCCTAAAGTAATGAGTAGGGACAAGTAGGGACAAACTTTTGGTGCATTAACTCCTTCATGATCTCCCATGGTGGTACAGGTCGCATTCCCTTTCTTTTTCTTTTTAATAGTAATTGTTCCCACCAAAACATAGCATAACCCTTGAACTCAACAACTGCAAGATGGGACTTCTTCTCCTGAGAATAGTTATGGCATTCAAAGATTTGTTCTACGTTCCTCTCCCATTCAAGATATTCTTCAGCATTGTTGTTACCTTTGAATTCTGGAATCCTCATTTTGATTGATCCCAAGTCCCCATCAATTTTACAGTACAGAAATCAGTGTTTTCAACCTCTTCTTCATCATGGGTTTGTATTCTAGTTTGTGGATGAGTTCTTGTTACATTAGAGCTTTGCGAAGCCTTTATCTCTTGCAACTCCTCTCTTATATCTTGAAGGAAATTGTTGTAGGTTCTAAACTATCCTTGGATTGATTCCATAAAAAGTTTCAATTGAGGATCTTTGATTTGATTTCCATCTCCATTACCATCTCCAGACTTGCTTGTACTCATTGTTAGTATTCAAGAAAAAATAGAAAAACACGAATAGAATTGAGTTAATAATAAAGCACTCCCCTCACGTGTTTACACACTTAAATCACTCCTTGCAATTCCTCCAATTGTACTTCAGAATCTTAGGTCAACCAACCACAGAATCTAGGTCAACCAACCAACTCAAGCACGTTTTAGAACAAGGAAATAACCTTAACAATAAAAGTTAAGCATAATTCTAGAGAGAAGACTCAAAAACAAAAATGGATAGAAGCATAAGAACAAAAACAATGTACTCTTGATTATCAATTACAGTGTAGTAAACAAGCAAAACACACCCCTAACAATGTAGAGAAGCAAAGTGTAGTAAACAAGCAAACACACCCTAACAATGTAGAGAAGCAAAAGAAAGCTCAAAACAAGAATAAAGAAACTAGAATTTAAAAGACAATTTCGGGATATAATGTATGAATTTAGTTTACTACAAAGTAAACCAAATATGGACCTAATTAATTCTACGCAAAACAAAGCAAGCAATCAAAGAAAAAAAAAATTTTATTATTATTATTTTTTTTATTATTATTATTTTTTTTTATATAAGGTCAGAGCCGAGCACGGGCATGCTTGTATAGCTTGGTCCGACAATGAGAGTCAGAGCCTAGCACGGGCGTGTTTGTTGTGAAGCACATGCGTGCTAACTTGTATCCTCCCTTATCCTACCAATGTAACCCAATTTAGGTAGGATTAGATTTTGACAAGGATTGTAGTGGATAAGGTTAATCTCAAAAAGATATGGACAAATAATTCAGTTGCCTTATCCACCGAGTAGTTAAGATTAGATTTTATCAAAAGATTATAATGGATAAGCTTAATCTCCACAAGATAAGGTCAAATCTTTATGGATTAGGAATAAATCCACACAACACAATTCAAGCTTTAATGGTGGAGGAATTTCCTTCTCTTTTTTTTTTTTTTTTAACGATCTAATTAGCAAGATCTAAGGTCACAACTTTTAAGATTTTTTTTTCTTTTCTTTATTAAGACAAGAACAAAATCAGAAGCACAATTGGGATGCAAATCCGAATTAAAAAACTATCAAAACAATAAGGCAAAACAAATTTAAGACACAAGAAAAATAAAAAACCCTAAATTAAGATAAATAAAGAATTTACTTAATCTTTGGCTCTGATACCCCAAACTGACGCGAAACCCTATTGACGCGAAACCCTATGGAAATTAATTCCAAGAACTCTATGACAAGATTTGAAATAGTTCAAAGATCAAACTAAACTCCCTCTCTATGGCACCTAAAGCCTAAGGAAGTAAGAACACTAATAATAGAGCAAAAGAATAAGATAAACGCCACAAATAAATTGATAAGTTTACCTTGATTCTTTATGCAATTAGAGGAAAGCAATCTCACAATCACTCTAATCAAAAAACAAGCCAAAAGCATGAACAAATCTAAAGATTTATTAATTCATTCAATGATTTGTTTAACAACATAACAAAGCTATTTATACTAAATTTAAAAGGTCCTGATCCTCAAAGGATTTAGAATAATTAGTCTAAATCAACTAAGGATAATGATTTAACTAATCTAAACCAGCTAAGGATAAGACTAACAAATCTTAATAACTTAAGGATAAGGAATAACTAATCCAAACCAACTAAAGATAATGATTAATTAATCCAAACAAACTAAGGATAAAGATTAGCTAATCTAAACAAATTAAGGATAAAAATACAAGGGTTTTCGAATTACTTGTGGCCTAACCCATTAACATTATTACAACTCAAAATTAACACACTTGGACTAACTAAATTTCACTAGAGGCAGACTCTAGCATGACCTGGGGGTGTCAACTAGCACAGGCGTGCTTCTTGTTGTTGTTTTCCTTCCTCAAGTCAGACTCTAGCACGGCCTGGGCGTGTCAACTAGCGTGGGTGTGCTTCTTTCCTCAGCATATGCTTCAATTAATGTAAGAAGCTTAGGTGTGCCTTTAAGTTCTACACAACACTTGTTGAAAGCAAGATCATGGAGCTCTGCAAGATCATGGAGCTCTTGTGTAACTTGTTCTTGAATGTATAAGGACATGGTTGCTCCATATTTCTTTGCACGATTTCTTGTAATTGATCCACTAGGAAGCACTAACGGATTTTCCATGTTGTTCTTCTTGTTCCCTTGGACTCCATAGATGAGTGATGGTGGATTCGTATCACACTATTTTCTTTCAAGATAAACAGATTTACGATAAAAGAAAAAAATATCAAGAAAATTAAAAATGTTTAATCACTAAGCGACATATATTCATTGCAAGAGAGATATAAATCTCTTATAAATTGAAATGATAGTAGTTCCAAATTATTTAGTAAGGAAAAAGAAAATAAAAAATAAAAAATTATTGTTAAGAATAAAACTGTTTTGAGAACTTACTTAACAAAAAATGTTTCAATGTTGTAGATATATAAATATATCAATAAAATATTATATATATTTTTTTAAAATTAAAATTTTTAACTGTTCGTTGTCTTACACACATATGTTCATTTTATTAAAAAATAAATTTTAAAAAATAAAAATTTAAAAAATTTGAAAGGTTTAATTATGTATATATTCTATTTGAAAATTTATTTTTTAAAAAATATCAACCAAATCATACAAACATAAAGAAAAAAATATTAATAAAAATAAAATAAAATAATATATCTTTTTCTTTTTATCTTCTCTCCTAAATAAAATATTATGTATATTTTATTTTGAAAATTTATTTTTAAAAAAAATATATAACAATCAAAATCATACAAGTAATAAAGAAATGAGGAAAATATTAATAAAAGGAAATAATTTTTTCTTTTTTTGTCTCAAATAAAATATTATGTATATTTTATTTGAAAATTTATTTTTAAAAAAATATATACAATCAAATCATACAAGTATAAAGAAATGAAGAATATTAATAAAAGGAATATAATTTTTCTTTTTTTGTCTCTCTCCTAAATAAAATATTTTAAATTATAATCAAATAGAACAAAATATTTCAAAAATAAAATATAAAAATTTTCAAATGTCTCATTATCACAAAAAATAAATTAAAATAGATAAAGCTGAAATTTTTAAAATGCTTAATTATCTATATGTATTTATTTAAAAATAATTGTTATAAATATATTCAATCAATTGGTAAAGTGTAATTTTCTAATTGATTATAACTAAGATTATTTTAAAATATTTCAAATTTCATTAAGGTATTATCAGAAATCTCATTATTCCCTATATTCCCATATTTATATATAGTATAGATATAGGTTATAGATAGATATTCCCTCTATCCTATAATTTTATTTTTATTTTTTTTCTAATATATCTTTATATTAATATCCATTATAATTAAATGATTAATATTAAACTATTCTAAAGTGGATCGAAGTATAGTGAAACATTGAAAGATTTAATGTTTGATATTTTAATTTTATTAATGATAATATGATAGTTTCATTGTTATATTTATTGATAAAGAAACATCTTAAATAAGAGTAAAATAATAAATCTCAAATATTATTCACTCTTAAAAAGAAGAAAACAGGACAATAATTTGTTATCGATAAAAAAGAGAACAAGAAATCATGAGAGGGAGGAAATATTATAGAAAATTATTAAATTTACTTAAACTCTATTTGGTATAAATGTACTCCATTTATAAGATTTATTTATTAATAAATTTTAGATAGAATTTATTTTAGAAATGAAATTTTCATGTTTGGAATAAATAAAAAAAATTAAAATTTTATTTATTTTTATTTTCTAAAATACCCTTAAATAATAACTTTACAACAATGACTCGATCCAGTGTTTTATAATAAAATTTTGAGTTATTGAAATTTGTGAAATTGGTTTAAAAATTTCACATTTGTTTTGTACCATACATAAAAATTATGGAATTGATTTATTCCAAACAAGGATAGATAAATCCTTCTCTTTTTATTAAAGAAAGACAAAAATTCCAAGTAGGCAAAGCCATCTCATCAAGAGGAATCCAGCATCCACAAGCAAACAAGTCCTATACCACAAGCTGACACGCGACCTGTCGATGTTAACACCTCGTCTACCACAGGATCTTCCGTTTTGTTGCCTTTTGATCGTTCTATAAATACCTTCAACAATGAATCATTTTTACCATTCACCTCAGCAGTCAAAACCATCACTTTCTCTTCTTTCGTTTCCTTCAACCATAGAAGTCTATCTCTTCATTTCTGTTCTGTGTTTTCCTTGAAGATAAGATTTTTCTGGTTCATCAATGGAGTGGAATAGGTGTATCAGTGGGTTTAGGGAATTGAGGCCTCTGGTGCACTTGCTTTTGCCATTAAGTGTCCATTGGGTTGCAGAGCAAATGACTGTTTCTGTTCTTGTCGATATAACAACTTCTGCCTTGTGTCCTGGACAGACTACTTGTTCTCAGGCTATTTATATTAGTGGTCTCCAACAAACGGTAATCTAAATGCTTCCGCTGATTGTTTCGTTTTTTTGTTTTGTTGGTGAGGAAGTTAAGAAATAAAGAACGGAAAATGTGTTTTTGACTTTTGGTTTATTATTTGCATTTTTCATTGTTTATCGGTTTGGTGGCCATTTCTCCGCTTATGGTGAGAAAATGGAAGAGAAAGGCAGCTGATAAAAGAAAAAGAAAAAGAAAATTACCCAGTTTAATTTTGTGCTTTGTTGTTCAATTTTGTTTTCCTTTGGTCCTTTATTTGATAGAAATTTATCTTTATAAGATTTAGTATGAATTGGAAGGGAGAAAAAGGAGAAAAAAGTCAAAATTACTGAATTCAGATTGTTTTTGGAATTCAGTTGGTTGGTGATAATGTTTCTTAGAAATCTTTGATTGTTTGGTCAAAATTAAGTTTTTTTCTTATCTGAGCAGATCTGCAATCTAAGTTTATTGGAGAATTGAAAATTTATACCAACACAGTTATCTTTTAGAATTTTTTCTGGCTAAACAGAGGTTTAAGAGGAAAAAACTCATGAAAATGCATTGGTTAATGAATTTGGAAAGTTCTTTACTGATCTGTTGTTTTCATTTCTTTTTATTTTTTATTCTAGAATTTCCTCTCTTGATCTTTTATCTCTGGGTTTGAGCAGAATTTGATCCTAGGTATTTTGGAATAAAAGACTTCACTAGATAATTGAGTGTGCATGTGCTAGAACTTGTATCTTTTGTTGTTTGGTCGATAATTATATTCCTTGATTGGTGCTTAGGAAAAGTAACCCAAAAAAAAAAAAAAAAGAAAAAATTACCAAACTTAAAAATATTTATCGAAGCCAAGTTGGGAAATGAATCATAGCATCATAATTACACATGAATTACTAATTTAAAAAATGTGGGCAGTTGTCCCATTATTGTCCAGTTGTATTATTTATAATAAAGTACTGAGAATTTCTTTAAATCTTTGATTTTGCTGAATGCTTAAGAATAGAAACACATGATTGCAACTTTTGTTTTTACTAAAGTATTGAGACATATAAGCACTACATATGGATCTGGAAATTATCAGAAAATGCATGTGGTCCACTTTGGTCCAATAAAATGGTAAAGATGAAATGACCTATGTCCTACCTTGGTTAAATGTGGATTCCATCTTTGGCTTTCTTTAATAGTTGATACTTGGTACATGAGTAAGAAAAGTTCTGCCTTGATTCTGAGTGTGAGTGTTATGATCCTTTTTTATATTCCTTCTAAAAGAATTGTGGCTTTATCATTTTTTAACTACTCCTTTGGTTTCTGTCATCAGCAGCCATCTAAGACTGATAGCGGTAGTCACTATACTGCTAGTGGATTGAATGAGATATTTCATAAATCAGTAATTAATGAGATGATTCCGAGTATAACAGAGCCGACATAGAAGGTTGCTCATTAAAGTAGTGAGGAAAACACTTGATAGCATGATTAAAGACCAACTAAATGAATATACATGAAGAGAATATCTTGTGCTAAGACTATGTATAGCTATAGAACTCAAATAATGGTGCAGGAGAATATGCATTTTAAGTTTTTAACTTCAATATTTATGACTACCAAACTCGGTACTTGGAAGTATTCTGCGGTTTATAAATAATATTTTAAATATTCAACAACTTTTTCTCGTTTTAAAGCAAAGGCTGAGGTTTATAACTTTTTGTTTATAGGTGGTTGGAATTTTCAAGATGGTGGTACTACCACTCCTTGGCCAGCTTGCGGATGAGTATGGGCGCAAACCATTTCTTCTTCTTACTGTATCTACATCCATATTTCCTTTTGGTATGTTCCGGACAAGTATTTTCAGTAATGGATTAAGATTCAATCAGTGATATTACATACTGAAGTTCCCCAAATTTTAGAATTGAAATATTAATGACATACCATCTTTGTTTGATTCTAACGCAAAGCACCTTGAGTTTGGGAAAGACAATTCTGAAGTCTAGTAACTGAATATGTATATAAGTCTCTAGCTTTCTACAAATGAAAAATACTTAATCATGTTTTATATATCTAATATCCTAGTTTAGATGAGTTAATGTTTCAACTTGTTGTTTCCTTGTTTTGTTGACTCAGCTCTACTTGCCTATAGCCAAACCAAAGAATTTGTTTATGCCTACTATGTGCTTCGCACAATTTCTTTTATTCTGAGTCAAGGAAGCATTTTCTGCATCTCTGTTGCTTATGCGGTAATAACTACTCCATTTTCATCAAAATTTGTATACATAGAGAATGTCAGGATATCACATTTTCCCTTCCTTTAGTAGGCAGATATTGTCAAAGAAAACAAGAGGGCTGCTGTATTTAGTTGGATGACTGGCCTCTTTTCTGCTTCCCATGTCATAGGAAATGTTTTAGCACGTTTTCTTCCTTGGAGATACATTTTTACGGTATGTTGTTTCTGTGGTCTTGGTCATATCCTTGCCTTTTTCTTTTAGTAAAAGTTTTTACTTATTTTCTGTTTTAGTTTTTAAAATTTTGTATTACAGTGACTATTTTCAATTTCATTGTCTTTATAATGATTGGGCATTTTATTTCAGGTTTCAATCATTCTCTTGATTTTTGGTCCATTTTATATGCAATTCTTCCTTGTTGAGACTGTTGAACGGGCTCAAAGGAAGGAACAAAAATCAAACTTGTTGACAAAGATTGTTAAGGTTTCCCGTAAACGATATGAATCAATGAGAGATGCTGCAACAGTAGTTTTTAGCAGGTATCTTCTATTTTGGCCAAAAAATCTTTTCAAATACACACCATCTTTCAATTGTGCTCTGCACTGTTAACATGCCTTGCATTATCATATGATTTTTGCTTTTGCTAAAGAGAAAGAAACTCTATTTATGTCTCCTCTGTCTTTACTTTTCAGTCCTACGCTTAGAGGAATTACTTTTGTTTCCTTCTTCTATGAGTTGGGAATGTCTGGCATCAGCGCTGTCTTACTTGTGAGTTCCTTCCTAACTTAAACTTATACTTTTTATGCCACATCTGATTATCCTTACCCATTATCAGCAGATCATGACAAAAATTTCTTTTTCCCCTGTCCTTATCTTTTATCAAATTAGATTACATGCTTAGTTTTGTGATACATGCTAGATAAATAATTAAAAATATTCCTATGTTTCCCTTTTGTCCTCTTTTTTATGGTTGCCTTGTGTGAAAGCTCTGGAATACTGGAATTATACTGTACGCTAACCTTTCATTTTGATTCTATTCTTGTATCTCCAAAACCACAACCAATGCAATTTGTGGAGGAACTACCCTTTTAACTGCTGGAATGACTAATTGTTAAGAGGACTTTATCCTATTTGGTTCATCCTATGAATGGGAAATGGGTATGGGAATTGAAATGAAAGTTTTGTAGGCATTCTATGTTTCCATTCCAACACTTCACTTCTAAACTTATTAGATAATTAAACATAGCATAAAGGTTACTTTGTTCATTTTGAAAATTAAGCTAAAAGTTATATTTCATTAATGCTTATGTTCTATTTCTTAAACATAAAATGTCACTAAAAAACTGTTCCCTTGTGTGCCATACAATCCAGCAGAATCCTATTCTGTGATTCCTTTTTCAATTCCATTTTCTAACTGAACCAAACAATAGTTCTGCTAGTACTACCTTCCACAGGAGTATATATATTGAAATTTTCATTTTTTTTAAATAATGAGGGTCCTTAATATATTGATTGAATCAATTTTCATTTTTATTGTCAGTGCTAATTGCAAATAGTTGTTCTCTTTTTTTTTTTTTTTTTTTTTTTTTTTTTTTTTTTTTTTTTTCCCATTTTTTTTAAATAATGTTAGTGGTCCCTATATATATAATTGGAATTGAATCAATTTTCATTTTATAATGTCAGTGCTATTGCAAATAGTTGTTCTCTTTTTTTTTTTTTTTTTTTTTTTTTTTTTTTTTTTTTTGGAGAAAATGAGTGCTTTCTATTGCATTATCTAATTTTGGTTTTCTTTTTGAGTTAAATTTCTCCTATATGACTTCTAATTACTTAATTGCATAGCAGTACTATCTCAATGCAGTGTTTGGTTTAAGAGCAAAAAATCAATATTCAGAAATTCTGAGTCCTAATAAGCGTGGGAATTGTAAAAAATATTTTTCTCAGGTAAGTCCTTTTCTGGGAACTAATTTTTTCCTGTATTTTTAAGTATGCCTTATAAAATGCCCCCGCCTGAAAAAAAAAATAAAAAACGTTTTTTTTTTTTTTTTTTTTTTTTTTTTTTTTTTTTTTTGAGAAAATAGTGCTTTCTATTGCATATCTAATTTGTTTTCTTTTTGAGTTAAATTCCCTGACTTCTTTACAATTGCCTATGCAGTACTATCTCAAATCAGTGTTTGGTTTTAGCAAAAATCAATATTCAGAAATTCTGTTAATGGTGGGAATTGGTGAAATATTTTCTCAGGTATGTCTTTTCTGGAACTAATTTTTCCTGTTTTAGTTCCTTAATAATCCTGAAAGAACTAATGTGCTTAAAGAATCCATATTGTTTTGCAGTCTTCCTCACTTCTAACCAGGAAATGAAAGTTTACTAAATAAAAAAGTAACGATCTTTTTCAAATAAATAAATTTCCTAATTAAAAGAATTATTAAACTCTTTAGTTTTTCGAATTTGCAAATAGGAAGTTAGATAAAATAAAGTTCTAATTAAAATATTAAACAGGACACTATTTGGAGGTCAAGCCTAATTGAAAATAATGTAAAATAGGAAACAACTCCTTTTTTTTGTGTCATATATTTTGAATTTGCAGAAACTTTTTGGCTGATATATGTTTCACTTTGTGTGTTGCTTGTAGATTGTGGTCCTTCCTCTTGTAAATCCATTGGTTGGTGAGAAAGTGATATTATGTCTGTCCTTACTTGCATCAATAGCTTATGTAAGTTGCCTTCCTAAGAAGCCTCATGCTCCCGGAACACATACTCAATTGCATGGACACTTGCACAAAATGAACTGAAAAGAATTTTGTGGTACTCTTTGTTTTCTGAACAGGCATTCCTTTATGGATTGGCGTGGGCATCTTGGGTATGTACTTGCATGGACTTATTTCCTGCGGAAGGGCTCTAGTTTCTTTGTTGAAATAAGGTTATAGAATTATATATACATTTCTTATTGCCAATTACAGGTGCCGTATATGAGTGCGTCATTTGGAGCCATTTACGTCCTTGTAAAACCTGCAGTGAGTATTATATATTCGCTTAACACTCTTCTTTCATCCCTATATTGTATGAAACTGTAGTGAATTATTGACAATGTTAAATTTAAACGTTCAACTACTTTGTGTTCTGAATTTCTTCATTTTGCCAGACTTATGCTATTATTTCCAAAGCCTCAAGCTCAATGAATCAGGTTTGTAAATTTTGGCAATTTTTACTCAATTTAGATAACTAGATGATTCTAAATTCCTTTTTAAGCTGTTGCTTTGTGGACCTGCAATTTTCTGCAGTCTAATCTAATCATTCAACATAAGTTATGATCAGAACAATTTTTGTCTAAGGACATCCATTTAATTTGGAAAGCCTTAGATCAATGAGCAAAATATTGTGACATGAATGCCAAGGCTTTACAACACCTAATATCTCTGCATTTGCGCATAATTTCAGGGAAAAGCACAAGGATTTGTTGCCGGAGTACAGTCAATAGCAAGCCTGTTATCTCCTCTTGCAATGAGTCCATTGACATGTGAGTTGTCGACTTCGCTTCCCTTTCCTTTGTTCCATAGTAGAACCATTTCACTTTTTTCTTTTTCATTTATTGGTTGTGTGTTGTTTTGTTAGCATGGTTCCTATCTAGCAATCCCCCTTTCAACTGCAAAGGTTTTAGCATCATTGTTGCATCCTTGTGCATTGTAAGCCTCTCACCTTTCTCTCTTGCTTTTTCTCATTCAGTCCATTACTTAATCAAGAATTATCCAAAATTTTCAGATAGTTGCTTTATGCTATGCTTGTCTGCTTCAACCGGAGCAACACGAACCCAGGAGCTCGGAGGAAGACATGGAAGCGCCACTTTTATCTGATAATTAGCCGGCTAGCTAATTTGTTAATTTTGCGAGGAAAATGATGTAAAAATGTAAATATATAGCATCACTTTGCATTAGTTGTATAATTGATGTATTTTGCTCTTAAAGTATATGTCAATTTTGCCTGAGCCATTTTACTTAATTTCTTCAAATGGACATCTTATATGGTCATAAAGTCTTATAGATTTGTAAAATGTTGGTACGTGGAATTATACTCCTTCGGCTTAAACTTATAGTTCCAATTTTCTTTTTTGGGTGTTCCAAGCAATAGTTCTATTTATATTTTTGGAAGATTTTTTTTTTTTTTTTCACTTTGGCTTAAACTTATAGTTCCAATTTTCTTTTCTGGGTGTTCCAAGCAATAGTTCTATTTATATTTTTGGAAGATTTTTTTTTTTTTTTCACTTTCCCACAGTATCTTTGTATGATAATACTTACAAATAATTAGTATTAGTTGATGTTAGAAAAAATCTTAAGCTTTATTGATATAGTATTAAAATTCGGTCCTCTTCTCATGAGAGTTAGGGTTGCTGCACCTATGGTGGCTAGGGTATCATTTTGATCATAATGAGTTATTCTCTTCTCGCTGGGGTGCCTTCGTTCTTGTCTTTTCCGAGTTGTCTCCTCCTCTTCTTTCTCTATTGTGCCTTTTTTTTTTTCTTTTCTTTTCATTGTTTGTTTAGGAGTTATTCTAGGTTTTTTTTCTCTTGTGGTTGGTTGTCGTGTGTACCAAGTTTCTCTTTTCTTATCCTTTTGTTGTGTCGCTTTTTCTGCTTGTTTCATTTTCTTGTTTTTGTGTCTGTTCCTATCAACGGTTTGTTGTGTAGCACGATTTTATTTTTTAAATGTTGTTGGTTTTGTATCTTTTGTTGGAACATCTCTATTGTTGTTGTTCTGCTCATCCACTCTTGTTTTCTATGTACTAGGGTTATACAACAATACTCTGTTGTGGTTTGCCTTTGGGGAATGGATTCGCAAAGTATTAATGGTGATCATAGGGATAGAGGCAAGGATAGAATTGCAATTGAAGAGAAGGTGCTGGATGTTTCGGTTGATGTTGAATTGTCTCATAACTCAAAAGCCTCATTGTGTTTAGTTGGCAAATTATGGACTAATCGTTCGTTTAATAAATTCGCGATGGTCCGGGTGTGGAAGACAAAACATGGTGTGGAGGTTAGGGAGTGGGGTAAGGATACGTTTCTCTTTCAATTCACTCATTGGAAGGATAAGAAGTCTGCACTAGCAAATGGCCCACGGCATTTTGATAGGTGTCTATTAGTTTTGAAGGAGATTGAGGGGTCGAGCAACCATCTCAGATTGACTTTAGTATATCAACTTTGTGGGTCGTGTGTATGATCTGCCTGTCCAATGCATGAATGAGAAAATAGCAAAAATTATTGGAAGTAAGATTGGGGTTTTTCTTGAGTGGCAGGAGGAGGAAGACCTTAGTTGGGGGCATTTTGTTCTTTTCAAGGTGGAGTTCGATTTACGATACGCTTTGTTGCATGGTTTTATGATTCGGTTAAACTTGGGCACTTCTTTATGGATACCATTCAAGTATGAGGGCCGGTCTATTTTTTGCTTTGCGTGTGGTGTGTGTGGGCACTCATATAAGCATTCTGACGTTCAAGATGCTTCTGCTGTGAGTGATATCAAATTGCTTAAATATGGCGAGTGGTTGAAAGCTTCCCCCCCCCCTAATTGTTCTTTCAAGGTGGAGTTCGATTTTAACGATATCGCTTTGTTTGCATATATATGGTTTTATATAAGATGGTTCGGTTTAAAACTGGGCATCTTCTTTATGGATACGCCATACTCAAGGTATGAAAGGGCCGTCTTTTTTTGCTTTGCGTGTGGGTGTGTGTGAGGGCAGACTCAATATAAAGCATGGTACTAGACAGTATATCAATACTAGATGAACTATCGCCTGTGAGTGATAATCAACATCCTATGCTTAAATGAAGATTGATAGCGAGTGGTATGAAAGCTTCCCCCCCCCCGCAACCCCCCCTCCGCACCTTAGATGGATGAGGAGAGTTGTTGCCAGAAGAGGCCTAATTATCAGTGAAAAATCGAGCTATGTAAGAGGCTGTATTTGCGGCGTAAATGGTTACCCTGCCGAAGTCAGATAACCACCAGCTATTCTGCGAGGATGAGATGGTGGTAAGTTCCACCTAAACGAAGATGCCATGGTGAGAGTCAAACTATTTGCCACTAGCAGTCCATGAAATGTTGCTTGATCGGTTCAAGAGTTTGGGTGTTATCTTATAAAATGTCCTGGAATGTCCCATCTGACCGTATGTCAATATGAAAGTGTTGGCCTTAGCTCTGCCTGAATTTTAGGACCGTATTGTGAATGCCCACTGTAAACCATTCCTATATCTCTCTATTTTGACCACAATTGACTCGTCCCTTTCCAAAAACCTTCAAAGCAGAGCCCATTCCATCCTTGTACCAAATTTCTGTGCTCCATGATTATACCTTAATCCTATCCAACTATTCATTAGTTGTTAAGACTAGTTTCATACCTATATTTCTTATTTTGGTTTCACAAGTAACAAAGGTGTGTCATTCCCTTCTTATCCTTATCAAATTGCTTTAGCACTCAATCAATGCCCACCGCAACAAATTAAGTGATAGTTCCCTAAACTAATCATAATTCAATGGACGCAATAGCAAACCGTGGAAACTGTGGGCTTTTAAGTTGGAATGGTGCTAAGGCCCAGTGGGAATATTCAGTTAGTGATGGAATATGGGAAAAGGAAGTCCTGAAGCTCCCCCTTAGATGAAATAGGAGAGTTGTTGCCGAAGAGGCTAATTATCAGTGAAAATCGAGCTATGTAAGAAAGCTGTATTTGCGGCCTAATGGTACCGAGTCAGATACCCAAAATTCTGCGAGGAGAGATGGTGGTAGTCCACTAAACGAAGATGCAGGTGAGAGTCAAACTATTTTTGCCACTAGCAGTCATGATGTGCTTGATCGGTTTCAGAGTTTGGGTGTTACTATAAAATGTCCTGATGTCCCATCTGATATGTCAAAGAAAGTGTTGGCCTTAGCTGCTGAATTTAGACCTATTGTGATGCCCCTGTAACCCATTCCTATACCTCTATTTTGACCACAATTGCTCGTCTCTTCCCAACCCTAATCAAACAGACCCATTCCCATCCCTTGTACCAAATTCTGTGCCCATGATTATACCTTATCCTATCCCAACTATTCATATTTCTAAGACTGTTCTACCTTTCTTATTTGGTTCACAAGTACAGGTGTGTATTCCTTCTTTATCTCAAATTGCTTTAGCCTCATCAATGCCCACCCAACAAATTAGTGATAGTCCTAAACCTAATCATAATTCAAGAGCAATAGCAACGTGGAAACTGTGGGCTAAGGGAATGTCTAAGGCCAGTGGGATTTCAGTTAGTGATGGATATGGGAAAAGGAAGTCTGAAGCTGTGAGTGATGTGGCTGGTGGATCGAGAAGAAACTTAAAGCTAGGGAAGTGCAACAAATCAGTTCTTTCTCTGTAGGATCGGCAATGGCTGCCCAACAGTCTTGCCGGAAGCCATGAATGCTATAGTATGGAATTGCAGAGGGCTTGCGAACCATCTGGCAATTCTCTCTCTTAAAAAGCTTCTTAAGCTTGAAGTTCCCAATTTTGTCTTTTTGATGGAGATGAAAATTTTAGCTACTGAGATGAAATTGATAAGGGATCAGTGTGGATTTCATAATGGTATTGATGTGGATTGCAGTTGGGGTAATGGTACAAGAGGGGGCCTGAGTTTGATGTGGAATAGCTCTTTAATGGTTACTTTACTTCCTTTTTCCTCTCACCATATTGATGTTGATATTCAGGGGTTATGGCGTTTTATTGGATTTTATGGGTGGCCGGAGGATCATTTGAAGCATCTTTCTTGGGATTTACTTGAGCAACTTGCTCCCAAGTCCTCATTGCCTTGGATTCTAGGTGGCGATTTCAATGAAATTCTGTATCAACATTAAAAAATTGGTGGTAGGGATAAAGATATCTGCAAGATGGATGCTTTTAATGCAGCGTCAGAGATTTGTCAGCTTTCGAATATGGGTTTCCATGGCCTCCCTTTCACTTGGAGTAATGGTCAGAATGGGTTGGGTAATATTCAACAGCGCTGTGACAGGTTTGTTTGTATACCTGAATGGGTGAATCTCTTCCCTCATTTAGTTCGCCAAGGGCGAATCATTGCCTTGTTAAATTGGTGTTGTCTCATCTTGATGGGAGGAAACGGAAATGTTACAAACCCTTTCGTTTTGAGCAAATGTGGCTTCAGGATGCCTCATATATGGATGTCGTTGTGGAGTCTTGGTTGTCAGTCCCTTATTCACAATCCAACTAGTTGAAGCAGAAGTTGGAGGTATGTGGGAAACGGCTAAGAATGTAGGAGTTGAAGACTTTTGGTCATGTTACAAATTCTTTAAAATCTCTTCGACAAGATCTTAGCAATTTACAGGCAAGTATCCAATCTAAGGAGAATATTCGAAAGCAAAAGGATATTGAGGAGAAAATAAAAAAATTGCTTTCTCGGGAAGAGATAATGTGGCTTAGAGATCAAGACTCTAGTGGCTTAAAGAAGGAGATAAGAATACTGCATTTTTTCATTCAAAAGCAAACTTTAGGCAAAAAAGGAATGCTATTGAGATAATAAAGGATGAGCAGGGGAGGGATTATAAGGATAAACATGATATTGCTACAGTTATGACCCAATACTTTGCTACTCTATTTTCTGCTAGCGAGCCATTAGAGTATCTGAATGTCCTAGACACGGTAGAGAGCAAGATCACGGATGAAATGAATGAGCAGCTTCTTCTCCCTTTCACTAGAGATGAAATTCGATTAGCATTAAAGCAAATGCATCCTACTAAGGCTTCGGATGCAGACGATATGTCCCTTATCTTTTATAAAAAATTTTGGCATATCGTAGGTGATGATGTAGAAAATAAAGCCTTGTCTATTCTTAATCATGGTGTTTCTCCTTCGTCTATAAATCATACTTTCATAACTCTAATTCCCAAAATAAAAAATCTTGAATTTACGAAGGATTAAAGACTTATTAGTCTTTGTAATGTTGTGTTCAAACTGATTACTGAGGCTAAAGCAAATAGGTTTAAATCTATCCTTCCTATTCTTATTAGTGATACCTAGTCTGCTTTTGTTCCTGGTAGGCTTATCACAGATAATGCCCTTATTGCGTTTGAGCTTTTTCATTTTTTAAAAAATAAAAGGGTAGGGGTATGTTTACTCTTAAACTTGATATGAGTAAAGCTTATGATAGAGTAGAATGACATTTTTTATGCAATTTTATGATCAAGATGGGCCTTAACCATCAATAGGTTGAGCTTATCATGGGTTGTGTCCCTTCTGTGTTCTATTCTTTCCTTATTAATGGTGAACCTACTAACAAGTTTTATCCTCAAAGGGGACTCCACCAAGGAGACCCTATGTCACCTTATTTGTTCTTGCTTTGTGCTAAGGTTTTTTCAGGATTGATAAGGAAGGCTGAACAGAGATAGGATTTGCATGGTGTTAAAATTTATAGACGGGTTCCATCCAGCTCACATTTATTTTTTTGCTGATGATAGTGTGATTTTTAGCCAAGCTAATGTTAAGGAGGTGTAGGTGGTTAAACAAATCCTTGCAGACTATGAGCGAACGTCAGGACAGAAGATAAACTTTGAAAAATTTGAAATCTCTTTTAGCTCAAGTACTTCAACAATCTTGAGAGAGATGTGTAAGGAGAAACTAAGGGTAAGAGAGATTTCTAACCATTTGAGATGTCTGGGCTTGCCTGCAGTTATCGGGCGCAGTAAACGGAGTGTTTTCAAATCAGTTTATGATAATCTGGCTAGCAAACTAAAGGGTTAGAAGGAGAAAACATTGTCGCGAGCTATTTATTGGCGAGATTTTGGTGGGGTCAACAAAACAATGAGAAGAAGATTCATTAGGCTTCGTGGAAAAAATCTGCTTTGCTAAACGATTAGGGGGGATTGGTTTTCGGGATATTCATTCTTTTAACATTGCGTTGCTTGCAAAATAGTGTTGGAGAATTGTCAAATATACAGATTCTATGATTGCTCGGATTTTGAAAGCTAAATATTTTCCAAGAACCTCTTTTTTTTTTTTTTTTTAAGCTAGAGAAAGGTTTTAGCCTAGCTATAGTTGGAAGAGTCTCTTTGCGACAAAAGAAACAGCGGCAATAGGGTGTAGATGGAGAATCGGCTATAGGGATAGTGTTCGTATCTGGAAGGATAAATGGCTAGCAAACTCCATTGAGAATAGGGTCTCTTCGCTATTTTCTGTCCTTGATGAGGATGCTACTATAAGTGAGTTGATTGATTTTGAATCGATGTCATGGGATTCAAGTTTGACTGATTCTATATTTTCTCCTCAAGAGGCTATGATATCTATGCCATCCCATTGTGTGCAAGAAGAAATAATGATTCTATGATTTGGAACCATACCAAAGATGGACAGTTTTTTTTGTAGTGACTACCATTTTTATTTTTGAATCAGCAGTTGCGGGTTAATGGTGCTTCTTCGGTGGATCGTTCTCAAGATGTTTAGGAAAGGATTTGGAGTCGGAATTTACCAGCTAAGGTCAAGCACTTTATAAATCGAGCTTGCAAAGAGCAATTGCTGATGTCGAATGCGTTAGCTAGAAGGGGAGTATCTCTTGACCCTGTTTGTCTTATATGTGGGCTAGAGATAGAGTCTATTTCTCATGTTCTTAAGGATTGCATGTGAGCGAGAAAGACTTGGTTATTGTCCCTGCTAAGAATTGATACATCTGCTGTTGCTAACCTCAGTTTTATGGATTAGTTTTATGTGTGCAGTGATTTTCGCAAGTGTACGAAATCACAACAAGTAAAATATAATGAGGAGAGTATCGTTCCCACGATGATTGTGTACCAAATACCAAAATTATGTTAACCTACTATTATTTAAACGGCAATTTAGGAAAATTATTCTAAGAAATTAAATTCAACAAATAAAAGATAATAAAAAGAAATCAAGCAAAGCAATTTTGATTAAAAGACAACAAGGATTAAAAACTATTAGGGATTTTGACTTCACTTAATTCTATCCAATTTATTTTATTAGTTTATTAATCAATTTTAATTGTTTAAGTAGAGGAAACAAAGTGATTTTCTTGACAAAGTGGTATTTACCGTGGAAACACAACCCAAGTAAATATAATAATATTGAGGGAGTGAAGGATTAAGTGTAGCCCGATTCCACGAGTGATTTTCTACTTATAATCATGATTCTAACGATGATTGTGTAGCCAAATAATACCAAAATTAAATGCCTTAACAGCACTTAAGTCTATTAAATTAATAGTAAAACCGGCAATTTAGATTTAGGAAAAATTATTCTAAGAATTAAAATTCAACTAAAAGGATAATAAAAAGAAATCAAAGCAAACGCAATTTGATTTAACAAGACAAAACCTAAGGATTTTGTTGTGTCTGCTAAAAACTATTAGGGATTTTTGAACTTCACCTTAGATTCTATCCAATTTATTTTTATTAGTTATTACATCAATTTTAATTTGTTTAATGTAGCAGTTGCGAAAAACATCCTAATAGGTATTAACTTAACAAGCTCTCTCGATATACTTGTTTAGTTATTTTAAACGGGGTCTTCGGTTTTAATCCTACGCGTATGTTTCTAAACAAAGTAGGCAATCAAAACCCCATGAATTAAATAATTAAGTTTTTCTCTTTGGTTTGCCTAATGAATTCATCAACCTAGTCAGACTTGCTTAACTTATAAAAACCTCAAGCAGGTGAAGTCAAACCCATTTATATGTGCTTCCGTTTATACAAAAGTTAGTTATTCCTCATCACTAATTTATTACCATTTTTCAAATTGAATCAAAGAACTCGCTTCTTATTCCCGATATTAGTGATTTTAACTTGAAAAAAAAAATTAAAAAATTTCCCCCTATATTTTTCCGCCAGAAAAAAAATATAGGAAAAAACTACTTGCTTCAGAAGCTTTTACGTCTAATTCAATAATAAATTATATACTTGCAGAAAAACAATTCTAATATTATAAATTAGAACAGAATTGCAATAATATATTTTTAATAAAAATAACTAATATTATAAATTAGAAAAGAATTCAATAAATATATTTAATAAAATAATTATAGACAATAAAATATTTTTTTCACTAAAAACATAATATTATAAGCAACTTGACATGGTATAACTTAAACACACACAAGACTACAAATTTAACTTGAAATCACTTTGCAGGTCAACTCGAACCTAATAGAAGCAATCCAATCGGAGAACCTCTGAAAAAAGACATGACAAAATGTCGCAAAACCCAAATTGAACTGGATCTGAAGCTATCCAACTCGAACTCACTTGACCCGAGTCACTCTCCCTCCTTTATGTATTGCATTGCATTGCATAGGATACGAGTTTTTAGAATAGGAAATGCAAAGTTAACAAAGGCAAAGGAAAAATATGGAATGAAAGAAATATAAATGGAAGTCAATTAATAGAAGTAAACTAATCAAAAATCTTCTTTTTTAACATTAAATTCTCTAACCCCTATTTTTGGAGATTAAACATTTAGAGGTCAAAATGAACTTTAAAAGTTCAGAGCGATGTCGCAGCAACAACGGCTTCTAGTATCTTTTTCTCCAGTACATCTTCATCGATCCACATGGAACTTTGTTGGCGCAACAGATCATTATTCTTTTTCTTCTTCTCTTCCCTCGTTCTTTCTTTCATCCTCCAATTTTCAAGCTTCTCGCCTCTTTCTTTCAACTGAGTTAACATAGGCCAGAAATACATTATATATATAGACAGCTTGACAATGTAAAAAGAAGAGACATGAACGAACAACCTTGAGCCATAATTATTACGAAACAAATACCATAGTAACCCCAAATAGGGCAGCAATCTTAGCGGCACAGTACGACATTCATCATATACATTATGCAATAATGTGTCTTCCATTGAACAAATTGAATATAAACAGACAGCTTGACAGTGTAAAAAGAAGACATGCAGAAGCTTGAGCCATAATATTGCCAGATAATCTCATAAACCTATTGCCCATTGAGAAGCACAAAAACGTAAAGGTACAAAGTGCCAAAAAGTTAAAAACGGATCATTACAAAACAAATCCCTAAGCAACAGCGAAATATGGCAGCAATCTTAGTGGCATGGACATACATCATATACATTCTGCAATAATGTCTTCCATTAAACAAATTGGAGAAAAGCTACCTTAAAGGAATGACGCAGGGGGAAGATGTAGGGCTGTCAGTTTTTAACAAGTAAGCTAGAATAGGGTTGATTGTAGGTGGAACAGTAAATAATTAGGTTTATAACCTTTGAATCATTGAGAAGCCGACAAAAACGTAAAGGGTACAAAGTGCCAAAAAAAGTTAAAAACGGATCATTACAGACATAAAACAAATCCTACAGCAACAGCGATAAATATGGTCAAGCAATCTTAGTGGCTGGATAATCTGGACGATACAGTCATATACATTCTGCAATAGAATGTCTTTGCGATTATATTACGAACATTCAAAACAAATTCACGGGGAGAAAAGCTAACCTTAAAGGAAGGACGCAGGGGGGAAGAAATGATAGGGCTGTAGAGTTTTTTAACAATTGCGCGATAGGGCAAGTAAAGCGCTTGAATAGGGTTGATTGGTTAGGTGGAATCAGTTAAATAATTAGGTTTTATTGAACTTTTGAATTAAAATTTATGAAGGAAAATAAGATGATTACCAATGCTACTAGTGCTGTCTATTTATAGTGATAAATCCTAAACATAGAGCTACGGAATACCCTAATTAAAGAAGAATTAAAACATATCTATCCTAATTTCAATGTAAATAGTAAATCCTAATCAAATAAAGGAAACGGAAAAACTTAATGCAAATCTGAAATAAAAACAAGAAATTAAATTAAATAATCGCTAGTTGTGCATAGAGGAAAATCCATTAGGACTTAGGATTGCTTCCGCAATCATCTCCCGTCGGGTTTGAAAAGACTCACGGCTATCAAATCCAGACGAGTCAGCCCTTGGAAACATATACCGCAATATAATGGCCTGGGATTTTCAACTTTGCTTTAGCCTCTTCTTACAGAAATCACATGTACTATTCACTTTAGGCCTGGATTTTCACCCAAACCAACTATAACCTAAAAATCATCGTATCACTATATTGGAATTGCCACGCCTAGAATGAGCTTTCCTTTATTGACATCACCCGGGGCGAGCGAGGTGAGGGGTCACAACAACTTTTCCTCAAATAACATCAAGCCACTTATGCATTTGGCAGCATCTTGTACTTAGTGCTATCAATGGAGGACATGGCACTTCCAATCCAAATCCATGAAAAGGATCAATGTCTGAAAACATTAAAAAATTGGACTCGATTTGTAAAAATCAAGAATGGAAAAGATCAATTACATATATTACCATAGGCATTGGAACTGATCTTCTTCAACACCTTAACAAGGTCCAAACCTTATCTAGATTATCACTATGATAAGTTTCCTTTTAGAGGAAACGTTCATTTCGTCTATTAAGTTGGACGAGAAACCGATCGCCTTCATCAAAATTTCTTGTGTAACGCTGGCCGATGCTTGGTTGGACTGTATAAAGGCATAATGATAGCAATATGCTGTCTTTTTAAAGGCAGCTTTACACTTTCTGTTAAATATAAATGAATTTTCCCTGATGGCCGATCAGCAAACAATATCCCCTTCAGAAATCAACACTTACTCTAGAGCCTCTTGGGGCAAGGGCACCAAAAATCGAGTACAATTCTGAGGTTTAGAGTCCATAAGCAGCTTCCAAAGGAGTCTTCTTAAAAATACCAAACCTTTCGAATTGACTGAGTTGTTATATGGCGAATTCGAACTTTGGGGAATAAACTAAGATCCCATGATCTTTGTATTGGCACTTCCCAACGAGAACATCTTAATAAGGATTTCCCCAAACTACGATTGGGGACAACTTTCCGTCTGAACCGTACTGTTGCGAATGGCAAGTACTGGAATATATTTCAATTCAGTTCCAATTTTCTCCTAAAGTCCTCAAAAGTGCCCCCAATAAACTTTACATTCTCACGAGAAACAAATAGAGATTGGAACGACTAATTAGTACTCACGATCTCTCTGAAAAAACAAACTCGCAAAATTATGAAACTGGCAAATTAGAAGTCATTGAAAACACAATGGGAATAAGAAAAATGAGCCATTTAGAGAAACGATCCATCTACAAACAAATATAGAATCAATATACCTTGCTGTCCTTTGGAAGTCCAAGAAAAACAAATTCCATACTCAAAGGTGAACGCCAAGGTGCATTCTGGCCTCGGGGTAAAAGGAGGGAAGTAATTAGGCGCGAGAGCAGAGAGGTGAGAGAGAGGGATGGGAGATAGATAATCTGTAATTTTTTGCAGTGCTACCCTTTCGAGTAAACAGGCCGTGGACAATCGTTCCGACCAATTTTCTCACCATCTTTTTTCACATCTTTTGGCCATAAATAACGGCAGAAATCAATCAGCGAAAAAAGTCTTGGTACTCTACCAAAGTGTCCTCTACGCCAAACCAATTTCCACAAAAGGACCATGAAAGTTCATCTAATGAAAATTTGTTTCCCTAAGATTATTTCCTTCAGGAATGCATGACTTTATATTTCCTTTGAAAATTAAATAACCACATGGCTTGCAAATCGGTATGGGGCAGACTTTCAGCTTTCTGAAGAATGCAAGTAAATTCAGCACCGTTTATTCTTGGCCAAGATGAATCTGAATAATAACTGGTTTTTTCAATATTCTTCAAAACCAGTAATTTAGTGCTAACAATAATTTGACAAAATTAGGGATCTTCTACTAATGCATCAGCCACAATAATTAGATTGACCGAGATTTATACTTTAGTGAGAAAATTAAATTCATCAAGGAAAGAAATCTCACTGTTAGACCATGATCGATTGTTGAAAGTTTAATTACTGAGAAATTTTTAGAACTACCTCAAGGCTGATGAATCAAAAAAAACCCCAACCAAACTCAAACGTAAGCTAAGTACAATGTTGCACCTAAATAGTTGAAATAGCATTTTAGATACCTCAAGGCCTGATGATCAGAAAAAACCATAAACTCACGATAAGCTAAGTAATGTTGCCAATGTCGAATAGCTCTTACCAAGGCATAGAACTCTATATCATAAGTTGAGTAACGCTTTTTAGCTTCAGATAACTTTTCACTAAAAAACTCAAGAGGTCTGCCCTCTTGGCTAAGAACAGCTCAAATCCCTTCATGTGAAGCATCACATTTGACAATAAATAATTTCTCAAAATCTGGAAGTGCAAGAACAAGTGCTCTAGTCATTAAAAACTTGATTCTTTCAAATGCCTTTTGTGCAGAATTTGTCCACTCAAACTTTTCTTCTTTCAGATATGCAATTATAGGACTCATAATTGAACTGAAATTTTGGATAAATCTCCTATGGAAAGAGGCCAAACCATGAAAGCTTCTAACTTCTTTGATGGATTGTGGTGCTGGCCATTCGGTAATTGCACAAACCTTTTCTGGATCTGGTTTTAATCCTTCAGCGGACACAATGTATCCCAGGAATACCACTTCTGGTTGCAGGAAACTGCATTTTTTTAGCTTTATGTGCAGCTTCTCTTGACGAAGTACTTCTAATACTTGTCGCAAGTATTTTAAATGATCTTCCTCTATGCGGCTATAAATCAAAATGTCATCGAAATATACCACAATGAAAGAATTCAAGAAAGGTTTGAGTACATCTGTCATGACTCTCATGCATGTGTTTGGTGCATTAGAAAGGCCAAATGGCATTACTAACCATTCAAATAACCCATCCGGTGTCTTAAAAGCTATTTTCCATTCATCATCATGCCTCATTCTAATTTGGTGATATCCACTTTTCAAGTCAATTTTGGAGAACACTTTAGAACATGCTAGTTAATCAAGCATATCCTCCAATCTTGTTATTGGAAAGCGATATTTGATTATAATCTTGTTTATAGCACGACTATCTACACACATTCTCCAAGAACCGTCTTTCTTTGGTGTTAATAAGGCTGGGCAGGTACATGGACTTTTACTTTCACGCACCAGACCTTTTTCTAATAATTCCTTAACCTGTCTTTCTATTCAGCCCGCTGTAAAGGAGGCATTTGGTATGCAGGCAGATTTGGTAAAGCTGCTCCTGGTACCAAATCAATGGCATGTTGGATGCTTCTTAATAGTGGCAAGCTTTTCAGTACATTTTCACTAATCAACTCCTTGAATTCCTGCAATAATCATTGAATTTCAAAGGAATATTCAACTGATTTTTCAACCTGGTTAGCTCCTATCAGTTTGCTCACTAAGGCATATGTGACTCCCACCTCACCATGCGCAGCTGCAAATTCTTTAACACTTACACACTACAAGCCCATTTAAATTAACTAGTTTGCAGCTCCTTTATTTGCTAGTTTTGCCTTGTTTCTTCCTTGAGAGGATGCAAAGTGGTACTTCTTGTTGTCCTTGTAAAACGAATAAGTATTAGGGCTTGTCTTGTGGACCATATCATGATCATACAACTCAAGGTCGTTCCCACTAGAAATATGCCCCAACATCCATTGTACTACACACATAGTGCTTCATCTTCCAAGTCATCTCCCATTGAATGAATTGCACTAGCATTGAGCATGTTACTGGATCTCATGTCCTTTCTTAACAACCTACTTGCGATGGATGAGGATGTTTGTTGTAGGAAGCTTTAATTTTTTCTACGGCCTCCTTTGATAATTATATTTTCCATACTTCCCTCCATTCAATGACAAATTACACCACTTTGCCTTTAACAAAATAACACGTTACGGAAAATGCTACGCCTCCTCCAATCTCTTTTCCTTCTTTGTCATCTGGCTGTCTATTGACTGTTCGAACAAAACTAAAGGACTCACCTTGAGCTGGTGAACATCAATCTTCTACTTCCCTCATCAATATTCATCAAAAATAGGGCCTTTGGTCTTTGCATCATACTCGGCTTAAATTCACCCTCCTTGGGACAGATGAATGAAGTGATGTCCCTTTCTCCACAAGTAAAACAACGAACTTGAGAATTGTTGCCTCTCCTTGTAACGAACCAGAATTGTTTTGTCCACCATAAGTACTATAACTTTCCCTTTACCGGTTCCCATCTAACACGGGCTGTCTCCTTCATTGTTATTTATTAGTAGCGGCAGCCTCTTTCCCGCTTCGTTGAGTTGTTTGAATCCCTCGTTGCAGGTCCGAAATTGTTTTGCAAATTGCTTTCTGTTTATGGCCTTCTAGCACCGTAACGAGAAACTCGCTTTTCAGCTTTGCTAAGCAATTGCGAGCATCTTCAAGATTGTGAATCGGACTGATGCCCATATTCATCTCTAAAGGACTGATTTCAGAAAACCCGCAATGGTAGCGAGAGGTAATTGTTCATTACTTTATCAGATTATCCAACTCGAATGGACAAATTATTAAAATTCTGCAGTGTTACTCTTCAAACAGACATGCTATTTTGTTTCAAAGCAGTGGAACCTTTCATATAGTCCCCATTGCGTAATCAGCTGCTAAAAATTGCAATCAGCTGCTAAAAATTGCTTCCTTAGCTTAGTTTTCATGTGCTCCCACGTGTTGATTTTAAGCTTTCCTTGTCGTGCGCGCTGGTCCTCAACTTCTTCCACCATTGAAGTGCAGTACTCTTCAATTTAAGCTTTACAAAAAGCACTTTCGAGTTTCAACCATTGGTTTACATTCAAAATAATTTTCTAAACTAGTTTCCCAATCTAAATAGTCTTCGGCATGCGATTTTCCATAAAAATCAGCGACTTCAATTTTAACTGCTCCACTATTTAAATCAAGAGCATGAAGTAAACGCTCTTCCAATCTGCCTCGTGCTGCTGGGTTTGCAGGTCCAGCTTCATGAAAGGGGTTTACATCCTCGACTTCCTCTTCACTCTCAAAGAGCTCTTTGAAAATTCAAGGTTTTGGTGGTTTTGCCCTTCGGAGCGTCCATTCGGGCTTTCCAACGGGTTCCTGAGCTGCCAAGGCTTGGACAGCTCGGGTCAAAATCCTCAATCATTCGCCGCCATTCTCAAACATTTCATCTTGTTGGGGGCTGATTGCCGTCTGCCTCTGCCTCTTCCAAAAACCATGGTTTAATTCAAAAAAAAAAAGAATCCTAGGATCTGTTTTGTTGCTCTGGATACCCAGAGTTGAGCGCAGGGGGAAGATGTAGGCTGTCAGTTTTTAACAAGTAAGCTAAAAGGGTTGATTGTAGGTGGAACAGTAAAATAAATTAGTTTATAACCATGAATTAAAAATTATGAGGAAAATAAGATTATTTACAATGCTACTTAAGTGCTGTCTTATATTATTAGTGATAAAATTCCTAACTAGAACTAGGAAAATCCTAATTAAAGAAAGAATTTAAAACTGCTATTCCTATTCAATGATTAAAATAGCTAAAATCCCTAATTCAAATAAGGGAAACGGAAAACTAATTTGCAAAATCTGAAATAAAACAGTAAATTTAAATAAAATCCTAGTTGTGCATAGGAAGTCCAATTATAGGACTAGGATTGCTTCCTGCATTCAAGGAAATCTCTCATCCCTCGAATATTTCTCCAAGATTAAAATGAGTCTTTTAGCTGAGAAATTTATATATTTTTTTTTTTTACGGAAAACTAATGCAAATCTGAAATAAAACAGTAAATTAAATAAAATCCTAGTTGTGCTAGGAATCCAATTAGGACTAGGATTGCTCCTGCATCAAGGAATCTCTCATCCCTCGAATATTTCTCCAAGATTAATTGAGTTTTTAGCTGAGAAATATATATTTTTTTTTTTCTTAAAACCCATCAGAAACATTTAGGGCCAGTTCACTTGTAAAAAAGAGTTTTATGTTTTTCCCATTTCCATTTTATATGGAGAAGAAAAATTTGGCGATGTAAAAGAGAGTTGGTAAAGAATTGAGACTATTTCATATGCAATACTTGGAAAATAATATTCTAACTCTAGAATATGGAAAAAAATGTTCAAATCACAATTATTTCCCATATTTTTATTTTATATTTTCTATATGATTTATTAACCATATTTTTCATTTTTTATTTTATAAATTATCTAAAAAAATCAACAAGTTAAACCCTACTAGAATAATAATGCCCAAGGAAGTTGAAGTGTTGATCCTCAACCTTAGTACTACTATTCAGAAGTGTCTGAACCACTTAATTAGACCCATAATATTCTATTTTTTACTGTCTAGATTTCTAATTATTCCACCTTACTAAGAAGAACCAAAATCTAGCCAGATAAATCAGTACGACAATTTGTTCAGTTGCAATCAAACCAATACTTCCATTAAAGAAAACATAAAATGATTCATTTTTTCCAGAAAAGAAACTAGATCTTTTTTCTCCCTGTAATTTTCTTATCATCCAAAATACTAATAATAAACAAAAGAGAGGTTGATGAAAAATCAAATACGACGAAATTACCTAAATCAAACATTTCCACAACAATAACCAACTAAAAGTATAAAAAACAAGAATTTAGTTTGAAAAATTAAATGCTAAGACCATTCTTAACTCCAATTTACTTTGGCCTATACATATAATTCTTATGTTTAGAGTGTTAAAAAACTTCAAAATCCTTGATCTTTCCCACATTACCTCCTCAATCAAACACAAATAGAAAACCCAAAAAGAAAATCCCTTTTTTCCCTAGTTTGCATTCATGGAACATATTTACCAAAATTACCAATTAAAAGAATGTTAAGAGAGAATGAAAACATACTAGCATTTGGCGAAACTCTTCTTCAGCAATTTTACGTTCTTGTGCCCTAACTTTAGCTGCTTCGGCCTTTAATTTCTTACGCTCTTCATTTGCAACCCTAATTGCTTCTTTTTTGGCCTCGTCTTTTCTCTGTTTCTCAATGCGCATCAAATCCATTTCCTTTATGTACTCTTTGCGCAGCTCTTTCACTTGCTTCGCGTACTCTATTCGCAGTCTTGCTAGTTTCGCCGCTGCTTCTTTTGGATTCTTGGGTGCTTCCCAGCTTCCAATAAAAGAGTTTGGTTCTAAGAATTTATGGGTTGTTTTGTGGCTATTGTGATGGCTGTTGTTGGCAGTGGAAGAGAAGAAGCGGCGCGTTGCATGGACGACGGAGCACAAAGTGGTTGACTTGGTCGCCATTTTTCGTTTGGGACTGTGGAGGGGTTTCCGGTTTTAAGATGGGAATTGATTAATTATGGACCACGGGGGATTAGAGTACAAAGACTAGAAAGCAGGCGGTGGTTTTTATCTCTTATTGAGAAAATTAATCTGCAATTGCAAAAATTTGAGAATTACACTGTGCTTAGTTGCTGAGAAAATGAGAGAAAGTATATAGGAACAATGAATCCGAAACAATCTTACACTGTAACCGGTTCCTTTTCCGATATAAGAGAAAAAATATCAAGAAAAGGTTAATCATGAAGAGGCCACATAAATATATTTATCGCAAGGGAGATACAAACCTCTTGCGAAAGTGATACTAGTTACAAATTGATTCAGTACCCAAATCAATCAAGAATAAGTTAATCAAAAGCATTGAGGATCGATTTTTGACCAACCTGAGTAAAGGGAATTGCCGGAAATGCTTGAGCTCGCCGGAAAGTCGAGAAAGAGAGAACTGTAGACAGGAGGTAGCGGCGTCGCAGAGCCTTGTTTCGGGTGGAGCAGGCTCCGATCGTTGAAGGGATGGACGGAGTCAAGATCGCCGTCGCTAGGAGCGTTAATCGCTGCCTTGGCGTCGACAACCGGTGGCCGAAACACTGATTGGGGAGGGGAGCGGAGGGGAAGGAAAGGAGATCGCGGCGGGTGCTGCTATGGGGAGAGGAGATTTGGGCTGCTTTTGCTTTTTGGTTGTTTCTCTCTCCGGTTTTAATTGGTATCTATATCTGGTCGGGCTCAATTCACTTATTCGGTTCAATTCAAAGGGAAACTTCTAGATTTTCAATGGTTTATGCTTGGTTTGATAGGCTGGTTAATTTGATTTTCCTTCTTTTATTATTTATAGAAAAAATAATTATTTAAGTTTTATAAAATTAATTATTTTATTTTCGTATTTTTATACATTAAATATTTAATACACGAGATTTGTTCCATCTAAAATTATATTTGTTTTCCATTAAAAAAAGAAAAAAAGCAAAAGAGATAAGAGAGTTATTTTAAAATGACAAATGATACGCCTAATCTTCCGTTCTCAAAACCCTTCTTCTCCGTCGTCTTCCTCCTCCATTGTGGTCTTGCTTTCTTCGAAACTGTAAATTGTTAGAGGCTTGAGATTATTTCTAAAAAACAGTAAACCCATACTCACCAAAAAGACAAAGATCTAACAAAAAAAACTTGGTTTGTGTAGATTGTTCACTTCAGAGTTCACATATACTCAAAAATCTAAAACCCAACCCTTTAGATTCTTTTGTCTCTCTCTTTACTATTTCAAAAGAATTGAAAATTTTCCTTATATTTCTCTTTTATTTTCTCATTTTCCTTTTATTATCCTTGTCATTTACCTTATCTTTTGTCTCTCATGAGCCAATATTTTTATTATCTCCATCTCCACCAATTGGGCAAGCTAACAGGAGCCCTGCCGCCATCGTATAGTCCGAGCCTCTGAGGCCATCGCTTGGCAACAGCCTTGTCCCGTTCTTGTTTAGAGTGGGCGAAGAGTCCTGTAGTCAAAAGATTTTTTTATCTTTTTATTTTCAGGATAAAATTTTGATGGAGTTGTACAAAGGTGATATTTTGGATTGTTTCTTAGTTTTCATTTTCTGGTTTTGGACTGTAACGATGGGTTGTGGTTACAATTCTTGAAACTTACTTAAACGGTAGATTGTAATGGTGGGTTGAATTTGATTTACTAAGTTTTACGGAGTCTTTTACTTTTCATAGTTTAGATTTTTCATAATGATTTTTTTAAATGTATTAATTTATTTGAGTTGCATGGTTGTAGAAATGGAGATTTGGAAAGACGGAGGAGGAGAAGGACGTTGGCTTTTAGTTTTTGTCTTATCAAAAGGGTATTTTAGTCCTTCACTAATAATTTAACAGCAAAAAATCAATAAAATTAGATAGAATGAAGAAGGAGCCGAACATCACAAACTAATTGCCTAATATATAAAAATATGATAATCAAATAATTAATTTTATAAAATTTCACAATGAAATAATTATTTTCTCTTATTCTTACCAAAATTCTATTTGTTCAATAAAATGATATTATTAAATTCAAATTTTAGAATTTAATAAAAAGAACTTTTGAAATTTTAAAATTGGGATATTTAAGTTATATTAGTGTTTTTTTAATATTCTGCACATTGTTTGTATTGGTTAATGTGCTCCTAATTTATTTTTTTATATATAATATAATTAAAATATAATAATATTTTAAACTGATGAGTAATTTGAATTAAATTTATAATTAATTATTTAAACTAAAAATCTGACTATCTTTTAATCTTTTAATTTTTTTTGTAATATAATTATTCTCGAAAATTTTTATAAGTAAGAGATATAATATAATTATTAATTTATGTTCCCATATTATTTAAACTAATTAAGGACAAGTTGTACTTACTAATTTAATGATTTAACAATTATATATATCTTTAACGATTATTTATTAATAATTTTAAAAGGACTAATATTTAAATTAAAAATTCTAAATTTAAAGATATTCATGATATATTTTGTTTTCCACTTAATTGCTTTCATTGCTAAAACTATTAATCTTTTTTTCTGGTACATAATAATAATAATAATAATAATAATATTTAAAAGACTAATATTTAAATTAAAAAATTCTAAATTTTAAAGATATCATGATATATTTTGTTTTCCACTTAATTGCTTTCATTGCTAAAAACTATTAATCTTTTTTTCTGGTACATAAATAATTAATAATAAATAATAATTAAAATAATTTAATAATAAATATTAAATAATAATAATAATAATAAATATTATAAATTTTCTAAATAAAAAATGTAAAAAGAAATATCAAGAGTTGAGTGTATGTGGAAGCCTATTGGCTTGGGATAGTATTTAGATAAATCAAGTTTTTCCTAAATATTAAAAGTTAATAAAATTAATTTATTTCTTGATAAACATAAACAAAATTAAAATATTTTAATAATGTTTAATAAAATTAAAAATTCCTATTCAAGTAGTAGTCTATTTAATTAAGGAAAGTATTTCAATTTTAATTAGTTTGTTGAATTAAGAGAGTTTTCTTTATTTTTTCAACTAATAAAATTAAAGTCTTAAATATAATTTTATCTATATATAATACTCTTTCCGTCCCATTTTTTTTACATGATTTGACAAAACACGCATATTAAGAATTTTATCAACAAAAGTTATTTTTCCCTTCTTTATTCTTAATAACTCATTAACATATTAATAAAAATCTTTCATTTCATGAACAATTATAAATGTTATTATAGGTAAAATAATTATATAAAATTGGAAACCTTGCAAATATTTTAGGACATCCAAAAAAGAAATAACAAGCAAACAAAATGAGACGGAGGGAATATCATGGGAATAACAATTTTTGACAATCCCAATATTGCTCTTCCCATTCTACTATTATGAACGTGTATTAACATTATTTCTCGATGGAAGTAAATGTAATTTAATAATTATAAGAATATATTTAATATTATAAGGGAATATTTATATTATTATATATATATATATTATGTAATAGTATATATTACCAAAAATATATTATGAATAGTATATATTACAAAAATCTAAGAGCATTCAAAAAAAAAATATTTTATGAAACAAAAAAAAAATTACAAATTTTAAGTGAGGATAAATTTGACTTGATTTATTTTGAATTATAGATATATATTGTCACGACCCGTTTCCATGGCGAACCAGCACTAGGATCTAAGTAAGCATAAGACCACCGAGAGCCGTAGTAAAACTGTGAATTACTAAACCCAAGGATTGCTAAGCCCAAATATTAGGCCCAATTATGAATTCACCTATTCATATATCGATAGCATTTAAAAGGCCAATACATTTTATAAGCATACCTCATATGAAGCCCAGGTCTATAAGTAAGAATAAAATATACAAGTACCATGATCCATATAAATTCCAGGAATAATAGTAAAATAAGCACAAATTATATATTCGACCGTAACATGCAAATACTATTAATATTTATAATTAGGCCCGTCCATGGCACCATCAAACCACATTGTTATAATATATGGACTTGTTCATTCATAAGAGCCAACAAAGATTTTAGATTTATAGAAAAATATTCGAGTAGACAATTTTTCCATTCATACCCAACATATCCTAAAGTAACTGCAGGAGTTGGATTATTTACATAATTTAAAAACAGAATTTTAACACAAAAGGGGAGTTCAAAGCAGTCAAAATTTACATTAAGACTCTATCGATGGAGATAAAAAAGAGTTTTTTGTTAAAAGAGGAAAAAGAGCTTCTTCCTGAGAAATTTAGATACAACGGGAATGAGTATAAAACTTAGTGAATAATAATACATAATACTAAACCCAAGCAATCAAAACAAATGTCCCTAGACTTTTCTAATTGAGCATTCATCAGCCATACAATATCAATCATATCATCCACAAATAATAGCAACCATAACGCACATCAGGTGGTCGTTAGTCGATAGAATTACCTTAACAGGACCATGCTGTCCCCCAAGTATGCTTTAATATTAATAAAATAATACCATGGTCCTGTGACTTGTGTACCCAGGAAGTCCACCCCCGTTCGGGCAAAACATAGTTAGAAGTAAATTTTTTTCATAATTTTATTTATCATAAGAATTTTCCATGGTAAATATCATAATCCGGGGTACACAAGGGGGAGCCACTACCATCGCTTACGGTCCACTGACGGCATTCTCACCATGCCCATGCTCTCGATCCAGGTGATCCAAGTCGTTCCAACTTCCACGCAACAATCTCATATCATTACAAGTAGATTATTCACAACATTCCATCTATTTATATATATATATATATATATATAGAGGATATTCACAACATTTCCATCTATTTAATATATATAATAATATATATATATTTCAAGTACTTGTATATATTCAAGTACTTGAAAATAAATAAATGCAAAGTTTAAAAATAGATTATGCATTCATAAATTTGGTAAAGCATTATATATTATTTACTCACAAAGAGATCCGATAATTCTAGCCTTGTTAAGCACCAGGAGTGAAGGAGGAAGAAGGTCCCACTCTATCACCAGCTAAAAGAAATAAACAAGCTAAAATTAATAACTATTTCTACTTATTTATAGAATTTGAATTCCTATACTTAGAATAATATTCTAAAAATTCTATTGAAAATTTAGCAAAGTTTTCCCCAAAAAATTTGACTTTTTCCCCTGATAAAATATCCACAATTCATAATAATTTATAAAGCCCATCCGTCGGGCAACATCTAGTAAATAAAACCCATCCGCGGTTAATAATATTCATCAAAGTCTCACCATAATATTCAACTAAATAATTTGATTTTAACAACAATAATATATAATAAAATTATATTCTCAACTTCAAATACATATATATCAAATACTTACATCTAGTAAATAAAACCCATCCGCGGTTAATAATATTCATCAAAGTCTCACCATAATATTCAACTAAATAATTTGATTTTAACAACAATAATATATAATAAAATTATATTCTCAACTTCAAATACATATATATCAAATACTTAAATAACTGTGGATTTTAAACTAATAATTAAGTTGAACTTGTCAACATAAATATTATATACTATAAAGCTTAATTTTATTTATAAAAGAGGTGAAATATTCTATTCATATATAAACCTACCTAAATAATTTAGATCTTATTATTTTATTGTACCGACTTTGATAATTAATCAATATAAGTTTATTAAGATCACAAAATCTACATATAATTCACATTTCTGCGATTTTTCGGTTTAAAACTGAATTTTTAAATTTGTGTCGAATAATTATTCGAAGGTCAAATGAATTCGGATTGCAAAACTAACTATATATCTATAATCTATACAAAAAGAGCAACATTCTGCCTCTTCAGAGCTCCGGGCACCAAAACCACCTCCGGCCTCCGGCACCATCCTGTACATGGTAGCCGGAGTAGTAGTAGGCCCGAAATTGAGCAAACTCAACACCAAAATGATCCAAAATTCACATAGAGTCTTAATTTCATGTCAATTTCTACTAATTACTAAATCTCCAAATTTAATCATTTTAATCCCTAAACATAAATTCTTCAAAACTTTCATTCAAGGATCAAATTAATTAAAGAAGAACTAATTAAGAGTGATAGGGATTGATTTCCAACCAACCTAAATGAAAATAGTCGCCAGAAATCGTTGAGCTTGCTGGAAAATAAAACTCAGTCATGCGAAGTGGAGTTCATACTGCAAAGCGACAGCTCGAGCTAGCTAAGAGAGAATGAGAGGGAGAGAGAGATGTCCAGGCTTCTTTCCCGTCATCGGCAGTCTCTTTTCTGGCAAGTAGGAGCAATTTTCGGTGTGAGAGAGTGTATGAGTTTTTATTGTGAAAGAGAAAGGAAAATGGAAAGGAAATAAAGAAAATAAAAGAAAAGAAAGAAGAGAATAGTAAAGAAAGAAGGCTTAATTTCACCCAAGGTCCCTCAACTCAGGGGTTCTCCATCTTAATTTTGTATCATAAAACTGTCTCAACTTATACATGTTAATAACAAAGTGACTTTGGCTGGAAGGGAGTGATGTGGCTCGCCGGAGTCAATTAAAAAATATTAAAAATGCCAAGTAAGCGCCCATGTGTTAAATAAGATGTTGAGCTCACATTTTTTTTCTCTCATATTACCTCTCCCATTATCTCTCTCATGCTCGTTGAATTAAAACCCTAAATGGAAAAAAAAAAAGTGATTGCCACTCTCTCCATCTCTCCTTATCTCTTTTTATCTCAGCTTTCTCCATCTCTCCTTATCTCTTTCTATCTCAGCTCTCTCTATCTCCGTTCTTCATTTGTTTTGTGATTGAAGGGTAAGATGTCGACATATTTAAGAGGAGACAGCAGCTCAAGCAATCAATCCATGGGGGGTGCTACACATGTGACATTGTGCAGGTGCGGGCAGGAGGCAGTTTTGAAGACATCGTGGACTGAAACTAATCCTAGTAGGAGGTTCTTAGGTTGCATAAATTATGGGGTAAGATTTTCACTAGATTTGAGTTTGAGGGTATTTAATGGTTAACAGACTTATTTTTTATTTTGTTTTTCTTTATTTATGTAGACACCTGCATACTGTCATTTCTTGGAATGGATTGATCTAGTGGTGCATCATCGTTCAAGGCATGTCATTATTAGGTTGTTAAGGAAGCCAGATAGGTTGGAGAAGAGAAGGAGAAGATGAAAGCAGAGATAAGGAAGTGTGACATGAAGATTTTATTTGTTGTTGTAGGTTCTGTGTTAGGGTTGGGTTTAACATTGTGGTTAGGTTTTGGTAAAAAATTATTATGCTAAAACATCTTGCTATGTGGGTAATTCATTTTGGCCAAAACGTCATGGCAGTTTGGTGTACTTTTATTATGCAAGATTTTATAAAATGGTTATTCATATGTTCCCATTTTTCCTTCTTATTGACATGGTATAATTAAGCAATCAATATGTACTTATGGAGCTTAACTAATCAACATATTGTACATAATTGATGTTTTACATAACTAAACTGAAAGCATAATATAAAAGAGATATAATATAATATATTGAATATGAAGCTCCCTTTTAATGGAGCAATACATTGTGCCAAAAATTTACATATTTCTACCTAAAAAATGACAATCCCTGCCATGATTCAGAAATGAAACAAACTAAATACATATGTGCTCGTTTTTTTTTTTTTTGAAGCACAAAAAATAGCTGTTTAATGAATCCAAATCTTAAGAAACCCCTAAAAACTATGCAAAAAGGAAGAATTATAGGTTTTCTATTGCCTGAGTGTTACAAAATATTCACAAAAAATAAAATCCTAAGAAGCTAGGTTCAGTTATACTGTGCAGCTTTCTCTTTCCTCCTCACTTATTGTTTCTCCCCTCTAACTTAAGCTTGTGGCATATTCTAGCTACCTATCATGCAGCTTGTCTATGTACCAATTGTATCTGAAATTGGAAACGATTGGCTACTTCCCTACATGCATTGTACAATAAAATCTTTCAAGTGACATCAATGGTCAATTGCAATTACAAAATACAAAAACACAAGCAAACAAGTCATACATCCATAAACCACTACACTCTCACTCCTTGGCCAGATTATTGAGTACGCTGAGAACTGGGATCAAGCATTTCACAGAAGTAACAGCACCAGATGCAGAAGTAGCAATAAAATGTGTAGAAGTCTTTTCAACAGCAGTTGTAGATTTATTCCCTTTTCTTCGTCTCTGCAAATTAAAAATATTGACAAATGAGTTATATCTATAAAAAACAGACAGTGCACATGTAAAAATTAATCTCAGTTACCTTTGCTGCCCTATAGGGAGGATCCAATGGAGCATGGAGCCTCTTATTGTGGCCAATTGCTCCACATGTGCTGCACTTCATACTTACTTGTCCCTTCTTACTCATTTTACCTCCAGTTGCTGCCAATTCAATTTCTTTAGCCTCCTTTCTCCTAGGTTTTTGCTTTCTACCCCTCTTTTTTGACAGTGGATTTTCACAAGTGTACGAAATCGCAACAAGTAATATAGAGTGAAAAAGTATCGTATCCACAGGGATTGTATATCAAATACCAAAATTATGTTGTTTTCACAAGGGTACGGAAATCGCAACATCGTAAGATAGGAGGTGAAAAAAGTATCGTATTCCCACAGGGATGGTATATTCAAAATTACCAAAAAATTATGTTAAACCCTAATTATTATTTTAAACGAACAAATAAGAGAGATTGTTATACGGAAAGGTAAATTCGAAAATAAAAAGAGAAAGAAAATAAAACAGAAAGAGATCAAGCAACAATAATTAGATGAAAAGTAATCAAGGATTTGAAACTACTAGGGATATTGATTTCACTTAATTCTATCCAATTTATTTTATTAGTTTGTTAATCAATTTTAATTGTTCAATTAGGAGAAATAACCTTAAAATCACTAACAAGCTCTCCCGATGTATTGTTAGTTATTCCAATCCAATCTAATTACTTATCTTCCAATAGCGCAATCAAACATAAATTAGATCATTAAGTTTTGTGATTGTTTTGTGAATTCATAACCTACGGTCATTAACTTATGAAAACCCCCCTTGAGTCAAACCATATAGCTTCTGCATCAAGTTATTATTCTCAAGTAATTTATAAGGTAATTTATTACCTTTTTCATATCGAAAAACCCTTACTTCTGATAGTGATTAATGGAAATAATTTCAATTCCAGTGGAAAAAACTCTGCCTGGGAACTTTAAGCTCAAGTAATTTACATTTATAACAAGAACAATGAAAAAAAACAAATCTAATATATTTAAATTGAATCGAATTAAGTTTACATCAAATCCCTAGTATAAGGATTTAGCTAGACATTAGAATTAAATAAAATCAGTAACAACTTGAATTAAATTCTCCATAATTCAGAAATGAACCCAATGAAAAGAAAACAAAGATTAAGAGTTTAGAATAAAAACTAGAAAAACTAGGTAACAGCTATGTGGATGGCTTCCTTGAATCTTGACACCAATCTTGGATGCTTGAGACCTTTGAGAGAGAGAGAACTATGTAGAAAAAATACTAAATTTCGAGATACCTCACAATGAATAGCTCCTCTCTCTATATAAACTTCCTGCAGTGGAATCCGACTCTATTCAGGAAACAGAGTCCTATTTAGATACAAAATCTTCTTTAGGAGATCATGACTGTTTAGGCTTTAGATTTCTTCTTAGTTAGGACTTTTTTCTCTTCCTAAATAGGTTTAGATCTTGTTTAGCATGTTTAGGAAAATATCCGAGGCGGGCCCATGTGAGGAAAAGATTTGCTTGCGTTTTTAGCTCAAGTCAGCTCTGCCTTAGTCAGCTCTGCCTTCATAGCAACGGCGTTGCCATATAGCACAGGGCTTGGGCTGTGCCATATAGCACAGGCTTGGCGCATGCTCGAGCTGAAACTCCTGAATGGTTGAGAACGAGTCATGCTATGCAACAGCGCTCAAATTGAGTCTTTGTGGGACGGGCATTGCCTTCTTTTTAGCACGGGTAAGGGTGCTTGTCTTGTTTCTCCTTTAAGATTTCGTTA